CCCTTCCTCTCCATCCATTGCCTCTCCTTTCAAATGTCGCCCTCTTCCTATATGTACAGGCTTTCTCCTCACGGTCACCAGCCATTTCCTCCACCATCTGGCCCCCTAGCTGAGCTGAGGAGGGGGCAAGACTTGCCCTACCCCCTCGACTCTCAGCTTCACAGAGGTGGTATTTCCTCCCGTGTTTGCCCCCACCAAAACCCAGATGGTACAGGGGCCAACCTCAGGAGGCGGGCAGGCTGCATAAAAATGGATTTCCTTCCCCACGGGAGAGGTCTCCACCAGCTAGCCCCACCACCCATGCACACACACACACACCTGCATTCATGGACATAACACCAACCCGGTGACGCCAGAGCCCCTTTCATCTCGGGATCTCCCAGCGCCGGGCAGAGCTCTAATTACTCCAGCACCCCCCCTGGCCCCGCCGGCTCCCTGCTGTCATTAGCCCAGTTTTACCAGCGGGGGCCACAGCCTTCCCACGGCTTTCAGGGCGGGGCACTGTCCCTGAGGTCTGCTCTTGGAGGGTGTGTGTGTGTGTGTGTGTGTGTGTTAAGGAGGTCTGTTCGACTAATCGCTCGGTTTACACTGGGGAAAAAAAAATCACTTGCTAAGTGTGGGGTTCTGGCCAACAGCCTATCCGAGTTGGGCTGCCCTGGCTCATCTTAGTCTCAGCCACCTGCATCTTCAGCTCTGTTGCAGCCCCTTCTCTTCCAGGGGGCAGAGGGGTTTGCCAAGCATGGGAGGAAGAAGGGGACCACCCTGGAATCGTGAGGAGTGAGAAGGGCGCCTGGGATGCATCCCACGGGCTGCAGCGTGGAGAGGCGGTGATGAGGGTCTGCAGCGGGGGAAGTAGCCTGCAGTGTGCGGTCGTGGCAGCTGCAGTGGGGAATCGGGGCTGCAGTGTGCAGCGTCAGCATGCAGTAAGTGAACCTGTGGGTTTGGCCTGGGCTCGCAGTGGACATGCAACAGCTGCAGGGTGGAGCAGGAGGCTGCACCGTCCGGTCAGAGCAGTGTGCGTGCAGAGCAGAACAGCAAGGTGCACTGAGGGTGGCTGTTGGACATCGATGCCACCTCCTCGATGATCAGGTTTGGCTGAAACCCTTCGGAGCCAGGCTGTGGTGTGCCGTGTGCAGGGGGCAGGCTCCACCCTGTACGGAAATAAGTCTGTTGGGATAGGGCTGCCCAAGGAGTTGGGAGAGAGTCCCAAAGTGTGGGATCGATTTATGAGATGAGCTACCTTTATACTCTGCACCAACCAGGCAGAACCAGGAGGCAGTGGAGAGGTCTAGCAGAGATTTGGATCAGGCGAGGACGACAGAATCAAGAGGGGGAAGGTAAAAGAAAATTGCTATGGTTTTGTCTCCCCTCCCTTCTGGCTTCCCCTACCACACTCTCTATGACAAAAGGCCTTAAAGATATTGAGCAAGATAGACTTTTAGAAATTCTAGACCCAGAGCCATAGAAAATGAAGTGAAGAAGAAAAAAAAAGTTTAAAAATATGAACAATAAAGTGGCAGTAAATACATAGCTATCAATAATTGAATCTAAAAATCAAATGAACAAGAAATCTAATGAACAAATTAAACTGGTGAATGAAATAGAATCAGAGGCATGGAAACATGGAAGAGACCGATGAATCTCAGAGGGAAGGGGGGTAGGGGGGTGGGAAGAGATTAACCAAAGATCTTATGTGTGGGCCCAGACAGTAGGGTAGTGAAGGGCTGTCTGGGGCAGGGTGGGAACCGGGTGGAGGGAGGGAATGGAGGGGGGAAGGGGGGCATCTGTAATACTCTCAACAATAAAGATTTAAAAAATAAAATAAAATAAAATGAAGTGCTTCCTGATCCACTTTTCCCCCCTCAGAGGCAGAGTGGGGCACCTTGAACTCAAAGACAAGAGTCCACCATTCCTATCTTCTCCTTACCTCTCTCCCTCCCCTTGGCTCCCACTATGGGCTGCTACCGGACCTGGGCAAGGGCAAAGTGAAGGGCACACTGTCTCCAAAGCAGATGCCAGGATCCAGCCCAGGTTTGGGCTTCTAGCCCCTGCCTCTATGTGGTGTCAGCACCCTTTCCACCCCACTTATCCTGCCTACCCCCAACTCTGGAAGCTTCTAGCCCTTCTCAGAGCTGGTTCATCACCAGCTCCTGTTTTCTCTTTGCTATGAAACCCCCACCTGCCTGTCTCTTCCCATCCCCCACTTCTACTTCAGGACTGAGTCTAGCGGGGAGAGCGGGAGGGTGGGGCATAAGTGATGCAGGATAGAGACCCTCCAATGGGATGTGCCTGGCAGTCCCTTCGCTCTTAGATTTTGGTTGCCATGGAAGCGGCAGGAACAGCCTGTTCTCTGGGCTCCCGTGGCAGCAGCTCTACCCAGGCTCCTCCCCCTTTTCTTTCTTTCTTCCCTCCCTCTCAGATTGTTGCTAGGAAGCACCCCAAGATTTCTTGAGGGTCCTACCCCTAGAAACCAGGGATCCGGATATCTTTCTGAAGAGCTTCCCCCAGAAGCCTTGAAGCCAAGACCCCACATAGCATCCTCCATCCCTGCTAGGAAGCCTCGGGCGATTTGGGGGAACAGGGGATAGGCCCTCTCCCAGCCTGCCCTGGGATGAACTCTGTGTCTTGGGACTCAGCCGTTCCCCTGCCTCACCTCATCTTGGCCTCCTGGGCTCTGGGTGATGGCAGCAAGTGATGAGGTGTCCAGCAGAGACCCCTCGACTCTGCAGACACAGCCCAACTTTTGGGGAGTTCTGGGAAAACCGCCAGGTAAAAGAACCTAAAACCCAGGCGTTTCTTCCCCCTTAGTGGTCTTTCCATCAAGAAAAGATGGAAATAGAGGAAAGAAAGAGGGGACAGTTTATGGGCGTTGGAGATCATGCAGCAGAGATGAGAGACGGGGAAATTAGCAAACAATTGTCCTGCTAAAAATAAAGTGGGCACTGTCAATGCCTTTGCCCTATCAGGTACCCTGGTTATGGGTCACACACAAGGGAATCCGGGAAGGGATTCTGGCTAGGTTGAGCCTTGCTTTTGATAGCTGAGGCAAGTGGAAAAATGCTTACACCTTCTCCAGGTTGTCTTTCAGGGTTCATCCTGCTTTTATTCATTGATTTGACACTTTTTTTTACCTTTTTTTTTGAGAGAGAGAGGAAGGGGGAGAGAGATAGAGAGAGATAGATGGAGAGAGAGAGAGAGAGAGAGAGAGAGAGAGAGAGAGAGAAGAAACATAGATTGATTGCCTCCCATATCCACCAGGGATTGAACCCGCAACCTGGGTGTGTGCCCTGACTGGGAATCAAACTCACCACCTTTTGGTGTAGGGGGTGATGCTCCAACCACTGAGCATCCACACCAGCCAGGGCAACACTTCTTTTTAAAGCATGTAATATGTAGCAGGTATCGATCCCCTAAAATTCCCAGCTCCTGGTTTCACTCCCATACAGAAACGCCTCATCCTGCCTTTGCCAGAGGAAAGAGAAGAGGAGGGAGGGGTAGGGGGCAGTCTCCTTTACCATAGAGTTTGGGTCTTACCATATGGCAGCCCTCCCCTTTCAGTTAAAGGCTGGTGTGGAGGCCAAGGGTATAGAGTGGCACTTACAGTGCGGAGAGAGAAGGCCTTCTTCGGGGTGAGAGGAAACCGCTTGGAGGATGGTTCAAATTCTGCCTTTTACTGTTCTGGTTGGTCTCTCTCTGGACCTCTGGTGAGGTCAGTGGGAAGACAGAGGCAGAGAAGTGTGTGGGATCCAGGAGCTGTCCTGAGGTGGGCCCACCGTATAGGTCCCTCCCTTGTCCTCCCCTCCCCGAGATAGATAGAAAGCAGGCAGTTTGATGCGGGTCTGGTGAGGACGGAAACTGGTTTGGAGCCAGCTGTGTATGAGTATGTGGGAACGGCTCCCTCTCTTTCCCCATCCACCAGCTGCCACTGAACTCTCCATAGTGGGGGGACCCGAGCAAGCTTCCAGAAGGAGATATTCCATTAGGGGAGGGGAATGACTCAGTTTCCCTCTGTGCCTTATATCCTTACCGAGTATTTCAGTGTTCCTGGGCCTAGACTCTTACCCATGTTCCTTATACTTCTTTCTACCCTAGATCAGGAGTGTCCCTGTCCCACTGGGTACCCAAAACCCTGTTCCTCACAACCACTTACCTCACTCCAAGCCCCGACTCTGGCCTAGCTCCTCTTCTGCCACTGCTCCGGTGTTACCATGCCACTCTGCCTGGCTGGCTTCCACCTGCCCCTCTTCTCTCCAGCCAGACCCCTTCCCTGGCCAGCCCAGCCAACATGATGAAGAGGTTGGGGCTTAGGGCTAAGAGAGCAGAGGTGGGAGCTCAGGCCCTATCAGTGTGGAGGGAGAAGAAACAGACAGCAGAAGAAAGTGGAGCAAGAAGGGGTTTTAAGAGGGGCTGTGTGAGGGGAGGGTTTCCTTGTACACTCAAAGGGGATGTCAGCATCTCTTCTTTCACATGGTGGAGGGTTA